TTCATACGTTAATAAATTGATAGTATTTTAAATTTACAAATTCATACATAATTAAAAACAACTTTTAAAGGCTATCAATATATAAAAATTATGATTTAGAAGATCTGACTCAGATAAACAAATGAAATACGTTACAACAAAATAATATAAATTATGGGAAATATTTCTATCATCAATCTATATAAATATTACGAGATTGGATTACTTTGTATATATATATATATTTAATGTATGTGAATGTTTAACATGAATAAGAAACTACAACACTTAGAAGTTCTTTTTTTTCTCTGAATTTATTATTCAGTTTCAAAATCTCTTGGCCAAATTTCCTAAAAAAAATTAAAAACTTTTAATTAAATTAAAATTTCTATTTTATTTCTATCAGATTTTCATGCCACCATATGGCAACAGTCTTAAAAACTGGGACAGGGTGCTATTAATTAAATTGTTTTAAAAGAATAAGATATAAAATTTACAGCATAAGTATAATTTTTACCAAACTAACGCCATTAATTTTCTTAGAAAATAAATGATAATAGATTGGAAGGTGAGAAAACTATTGGGAATTTATGGAGGTGAATGATTCTTTTAGAAAATTTATATTATTAAAGGCAAATTATTCAAAATCGCAAACATTTAATCTTGTATCGAAATTTTTTCTTAATTTACCATTATTAAAACCTTTTTATCTTTGGTAGAAAGACAATACCAAATCATAAATATTTTAGTTATAAGTAAATCAACTTTAGCAAACCGTGTATCTTTTTTATCAGCTTATCATAAACTTTCGTAAATAAATGTTAAGCTAAATAAACGCCAAATAAATATCTGTATGTATTTTACTGAAAGAATAAATTTTAAAAGAGCTGACAGTATTTCAATACGAATTGAAACATGTTTATAATTTAATGTAAAAATATTGATATCATGATTAAAAAGATTATATAGATTTCATTCTTTTAAAAATAGCACACATACAACAGCTTATTATTATTATTTTTTTTTAATAAAAAGTTTTACAAAAAAATAAATAAATAAATAAATAAAAAATGGCGAATAGATTTATCGATTTCAAATGACTGAATATTTTTCAACTGGTGAGAAATGAAAAACTTTGATTAATATTAAATTTATTTTTCTATTCAAAATCATTTGATTTAAAAGAAGAAAAAAAAAAATTTGAACGTTAGCTATCACTTTCTTTGATAGGTTAGGGATTCATAGAAAAAAATCCCAACACACACATTAGAGATATTTTTAAAATTTTATTCCGTAATGGATGGATGTGAAAGAATAACCCCAGAAATGGTAGAAAAAAATCTTTCAAGAAATAACGAAATCGAAGGAAGTATCAAAAATGTGGTATAACAAGGACTTTCATTACTTTAAAAAAAAAAAAAGGATTTTGTAAGACGGATCTAATGGCAGAATGTCTACGAGGGAACCGAATAAGATTTTTGATAAAGAAGAAAAAATATGACGTCAAACTTGATGGATGTATAAAAATCACTCTTTTAGAGTGAAATTCAATATTTTTTATTTCTATCTCTATGTACTTTTTCTGGGTATTTATTTATTAAAGTACATTTTCGAAAGTATTTTTTTAGAAGGAATTAAAAATGCTATTTAGGAAAAAAATGTTTTGAATGAATTTTCATAATAATTGTGAAAACGTAATTTGAATCCTAATAATATTTCCACCAAACACATTTTAGGTTGCAGTTTTTTTACAATGGTTGGTTTTTTGAAAAATATGCATCTGAAAGATTTTGACGTGGATATGTATATTTTATGAAAAGTACCAACTATAGATGACTTCGTATTTCAAAATATGCAATCTTTCTTTAACATATCATCAAGTTGATGTCATAAAAAAGCCGCCAAATCCCAACAGCCTCTATTTTGCGATTTGATAGAAGATATAGTTTTATTTGGTTTACAATAAAAAACATGCAAAATAATTTATAATTTTTTAATCAAAAGAAAATTGAAATCATAACAAGTTGTGTATAACGTATTAAAGATTATTGAAAAAATTCTTTCGCTTTTATTTATAAATTCCATCACTAATGAATAAAAATATTGGATATCATGATTAAGAGATTATATAGATTTTATTGTTTTAAAAATAGCAGACTTACAGCAACTAGCTTATTTATTTTTATTTTAATTAAAAAACAGTTTTACCATGAAAAAAAGCGAATAGATGTATTGATTTCAAATTACTGAATAATTTTTCAACTGGAGAGAAATAAAAACTTTGATTAATATTAAATTTATTTTTTTTTCTATTCAAAATACTTGCTTTGAAAGAAGAAAAATAATTTTGGAACATTTAAGCGTCAGTTTCTTTCACAGGTGGGGATTCATAAAAAATAAATTCCCAACACACACATTAAAATAGATTTTTTAAAATTTTATTTTCAAGACAACCGTAATGGATTTGAAGAATAACTGAAATGGTGGAAAACAAATAACTCAAGAAATAACGAAATCGAAGTATACGATAATGGTATAACGGCAGACTTTCATTTCTTTGCTTTAAAAGAAGTTTTGTAAAGACAGCCGGATGTGGCGGGAATGTCTACGGGAATCGAATAATATTTTGATAAAAGAAAGAAAAAATATGCACGTCCGACTTGATGGATATACATAAAAAATCACTCTTTGGGTGAAATTGAATATTTTTATTTTTATATCTATATATGCTTTCTGGGTGGGTGTGGGAAGTATATTAGAGTACATTTCCCAAAAAGTTTTTTTTGTATTAGAAGTAGAGAATTAAAAATGCTATTTGGGGGAAAGTGTGAAGAATTTTTATAATAATTGTGAAAACGATTTTGAATACTCAATAAGTATTTTCTCGCCAAACGATTTTAAGTTGCAGTATTTCAAGTGGTTGGCTTTGAAATATATATACATTTGCACTTTGACGGGTATGTTTATTTTACGAAAAGCACCACAAAGATAGATGATTTTCGTATGCAGACTTTTAACGTAGAGTATTTCCATGGGTCAATGGATAGGACATCGTTAATCAAAAAATTAACATTACAGCATTGCTTTGCGCCAAACTCATAAATTTGTGAGAATTGCCACACCATGAAGGACTTACGCTAGTGAGCTGAAATTTTCAGGAATGCAAATTAGCATGATATGCAAATGATTAGAATTTCAAATTCGTAGCGCATGCGTATGCAGAGCAGCGCGTTCGGATGGATCCGAATAAATAGACGGCTGTAGCGAGGCGTGTATGGTTATCGGTGGTTATCTGCTAGTGGTGGTAAACATATTTTCACCGTCGTTACTATGCCTCTTCGATAAAAGAGAGCGAGATTTGAACAACTTACAGAGTTTGAACGGGGAGAATCATCGGCCTCCGTGAAGCTGGATTGTCTTATCATGCAGTAGCCGCTCGTGTGCAGGTAACAGCAGCACAGTGATGCGTCTTTGAAGCAATGGACGGACGAGTGTCGGACAACTCGGAAATCCGGGAGTGGACCCCGAAATGACGTCAGCTCGCGATGATAGACACCTGCTCCGCATGGCGCTGACGGACCGTACAGCTTCCTCTAGACAATTGGCAGCACAGTGGTCAATAACTACAGGTGTTTCTTTGTGTGCACTTATTGCGGCGCGTGATGGCTACACAAAAATACTGATTCTGATCTCTTGGTATTGTTTGTTTTGCTTTGAACATTTAATCATTTATTTGTACCACTACCACTCAACTGTGTATTACATTTCATTCAATTATGACGATTCCTTCATGGTGTTGCAATTTTCACAAACATGAGTTTTAGATATATCAAAAGTGATTACAATGTTCAGCATTGAAAAAAGGACGATTTTAAATATTTATTTATTATTTTATCTGCCGATATGGTAAAATCGAAGAATAGAGGGCGTTGGGATTTGGCGTTAAATTTTTTTCGCCTATTGAAGGTTGCAATTGTAAAGTGTTGTGAATTGCAAACAATACAAGAAATCGATCTTACTACATTTAGCGACATATCGTCCAGTTAACGCCATAAAATAGTCGCCAAATCCCAAACGGCGATTTGGTGGAAGATATATTATTATTTGGTGCTTAATAAAAATATGAAATAATTATAATTTTTAATCAAAAAATTGAAACATTTAATAACAAGTTAGTAATAACAAATTAAAATTTTTTTAAAAAAAAACTCCTTTCGCGTTTATTTATAAATTCCATCACTAATGAATTAAAAATACCTCAGGTATTAAATATCTGCATAAAAAAATTAAATTTTAAATCTACTTTTTATTTTTTAAGTATTTTTTTATCAACTGTTAACAAATATATTATACTTTATAAATAAATCACTTTTTTTCTAAATTTCAATTCTAAAAATTGTATTCTTGCATTCTATTAAATATATTTGTTAAAAAAATATTGGAAGAGATTAGTTAATGGAATAATATATATAGTTTTTTTTTAACAAAATTCTAAAAACAATTCTCTTACAAATAATATGTTTTGTCAAAGAAGATCTGCAACAAAAAGTAAACGAGATTTTAACCTTCGAAATATTTTTTAAAATCTTTACTTCGATTTTCTGAAAATTTATTTTATTCTCTTAGTTGATAAAAAATATATTGTACGTCTGATAAGTCTATATCTGATAAAAATATATATTGAATTCCATTAAATTGCATGCAGCAGCATGCATTACTTTTAATTTGTTAATATGTTGTTGTTTCTTTATCCCACTTGGCTGGCCAAGCCCACGAGCCCATACGTGCTCATGATTGAAGGGGAAGGAAGCAGCTTCTGTTGCGATGGAGCACCCGTAGGTAGAAGCCTGACTTTTGCTCCGTGACGCTCTTACAGTCATAGGAGACTGGGACCTACGGCTTAAAGTGGATTCCGAACCACTACAAACATCCATGGCGCCGCCGGGATTCGAACCCGAAAAACCTGTGGCACCGAGCGCCAGAGCGCTAGACACTCGGCCATTCAGGTCCCAAATTTTGCCAACGGCACGCGGTGTTCCCAGGTGGTCACCCACCAAGTACTGACCGCGCCCAATGATGCTTGACTTCGGTGATCTAACGAGAACCGGAGATATTCAGCATGGTACGGCCGTTGGTATTTGTTAATATAGTCATAAATAATAGAAATATTTAAAAAATAATTTTAAATTTAAATTACAAATTTAATTTAAAACTATTACTGGGCAGACCTAAACTTAATTAAAAAGGGGAAAAATAATAATAAAAAAAAAAATTCAAATAAGAATAAATTTTGAAAACTACAAAAATATTGAATTAACTTGAATTGGGACTTTTAATAAATTAAGAATAAGATTTATTTTTAGAATAAAAATAGAAAAATACTATACATTAAATTAATTATTTATAATAGAAAAATATACTGCACGTGAAAGTTCTATATGGAAATAAAATCAATATATTTTGAAATATGCAGAGCATTAAAAAAGTCAACTATAATTTATTTAATGTAATTTTTATTACAATCCTTAAAAATGCTAAAACGATTAAAATGAAAACACAACTTTGAAAGATAAAAAAATGTGATTAATATAAATGGTCATCACAAAAAAAAAAAAAGATTATATACTATAAAAAAAATAAAGCAAAGCGTTATGAATATCATTACGGTCTTAAAAAACGAGAAGTTAAAAATAAAAGATTGCTTAGCAGAGCATACCCATCGATTTTTAGGCACCGTTCTTTTAATTTCCTTAATTTACAGGAAGGGGTTTTACCTAAATTGATATTTAATGCATTCAAGTGCACTAAAATAAATTACACTTAATGCACTACTGAAATAACTATTTTAATAATAATTTGTTCTACAAGACTGTATTAAAAAAATAACAATATTGAAAATCTAGTCAGATATAGTACATTATTTTTGTTCATCTAGTAAAAAAGAATGTATTATAAAAATCTTTAGTCAATTTTTTAAATCTGAGTACTATTTTATCACAGAAATAAAAAAAATGTTTTCATTACTTATGGTTAATTTTTATTGAGAATTTTTTATTCAACTCAAATATTACTTTTTACTAACATGAGCAGTTAATATATTTATAAATGGATAAAATGAGCATACATATCACTTCAAAATTAATTTATAGGAATAACAAATTTGAAATGGTAATTAAAAGCATTGCTAAGATGTGAATTTTTTACAACAAGAAAAAAAAGGTGTCAAAAAAGTTATCGATAAAAGCTTTAATCAAATTTTTATTTTCCGGATATGCAAACGATGGTGGTTATAAAAAAAATTGACTAATCGATTGATTCCTTATTATAATCGATCATCTATTTAATGAGTTGGATAAGTTATTCAATACTTCCTTGTAATTATAAAGGGAAAAGTAGCAGTGAATGCTTTGCCGTTGTTGTTTCTCTGACTGTTTTAGATATAACACTATATTTTTACTTAACTGACTCCATACCATTTAACAGACCATCTGAGTATACTTGAATCTCATATTTGTATCTTTTTAGATGACCACGAGTTAATCTTGAATGAAAATTAATTTTTAATTCTTTTACTTCTAATAAAATACTAACATTGCTTGCAGCGCAACCTACACTTCCATATCTGTATTTATTCTACTTTTATGAATTTTAAAATTTTATTTAGATTATCAGTCCAACCTGTATTTAAAGCATAATAATAAATTTCTTTGATGCAAAATATACGCACAATTAAATTGCTCGTAGAATTTTTGTTTAATATTTATCAGCTGAAGTGAGAACATAAGACTTTTTTGACAACAATTAGCAGAAAAATAAACTAGCTATTTAGCGCTAATTTAATAAAGTAGAAAATACTTATTTTGGTTGATCTCATAATACATAATGTAGAATAGTGTTTAGAAACATTACGAAATTATTCAAAAATAAAAAAACAAGAAAGAAATAGAAATAAAAGGACTTGAAAAGAATAGAAATACAGACTAATTTACAATATCTGTATGAAAATCTATATATTTCATGTGAAAATCGCTTGTTTTCTCGCAAAGTGTTCAAATGTTTGTAGATTTCCCGCTACCTATTTTTACAACCATCTTACGAATCGAATTAATAGCAATAATGACAATCTGGGATTCTTGCAAGTTAATGCATAGCATTTCATAGACACAAACTTTCTTATAGTTATATATTTTTTTTCAATTCCTTTTATTAGCTCACACTCTCCCCTATATATATCTTGTTCAAATTTCTCAATCGTTCAAGTAAATGCTTTTTATTCATCCACCAAGTTCCAATACATTTTTAACTTGTAGCGGATGACACAGTTAATAGCAAGTTTTTTCAAATATTCATTCAGTAATTAAAATTAATTAATCTCTTATTTTTTTTTTTTTAGATTTAAGTTGCATATATCTACCAATAGATGGTACCAGATAAACCTAAAAAAAATGAATGAAAATTATTTATAAAGGATTCTCTGCAGTGAAAAAAAAAGTAGGAAATGAATTAAATTTTTTTACTATATTATTTGTTTTCTAATGCAGCTGGCAAACACTTAGACAGCTGTCTTGGATTGCTACCTTAAGCATGAGGGCTGCACAGACGTTACTCGCCGGTATTACCCAGGGGCACGTTTAACTTGAAGGTAAGTCACGGACGCTGAGTAACAATGCCCCCGCAACGCTCTACGATCATATTAGACCGGTTCCAACGGTTAAAAGTGTATTCCGAACCACTACAAACATCCATGGCACTGCCGGAACTCGAACCCGACCTTGGTACCGAGCACCAGAGAGTTTCAGCCACTGGGCCATTCAGGCCCCATGGTCGTATATGTAAAATTAATCGAGATAAAATTGAAATGTATTCACTTAAACATTTCATCAGAATTCTTTCATTGACCACATAATCTTCGAATTTTTTGCCGTCATATGATATCGAGTATGATAAGAATTATTCTTTGTTTTAGAATAACAGTTTATTATTAAATATGTTTTTTTTTTTATTTCCAATGGCAGATTATGAACAGTTACAGATAAAAAGAACAACGAAAAAAAACATACAACAACAACAAAAACAATACAACAAATACAACAAACATGCTGCTGAAACAGAGTTCATCAATCCAACAATAATGCCAAGTTGCAGATCTTTTAGCCACTAAAAAGTGTTACCAGGTGCACCACGGGGAGGTAGATCTACTGCGCACCCTTATTAAAAATGTAATCTATTGTAAACAAGACTGATTGAAGTAAAATTTCAAATTAATTTCGTCCGTTTTGTATCACATAACATGAAAAACACTAATGAATATTATTTAGTGTTTGGTGTTTCTATTAAACCACATTCTATACTATAAAAAGAGGTACGTTTTTAATTCTGAGGATGCAAGATAAAATATAATTTTTTTGTATTTAAAAATTAAAAAAATAAATTTCGTATTAAATCACTTCTCTTTTCTACAAGTTAGTCGAGTTAAATTGTTTAAGGAAAATTAAAAATTTTTTTTTTTTTACATTTGCAACGTTCGAAAAATTTTTTTTTTAGGTTATAATATTTGAAAACTTTGTTACCAAACAACAGGTTTTTGACGTATTGTAGTATGTGTATAATGATAATGCTCACGAAGTGAAAAAGTTCCCGTTTAGTAAACAAATGGCCTTTCCCACCAAATAAATCATGAAGGCTTGAAGCTTATGTTAACAGTTTTTTCACGAAAAAAATACTAAAATATAATCTGCATTTTTTGAGACGTTTGAATATTTAGAACCGGGCTTAAGATACTATTTTTTTCTATTACGTGCTGAAAAAAAAGGCCTTTTATAGATGTTTTATCATAAATTTAATTCTACATAAAATTGAAAAGAAAATAATGAAAAAAAAAAAAATTAATGATGCTAACAGTGGCTTGGTGATAGCGAGCTTTGTTTCCGAATTTGAAGATGCTTTGCTCAGAAAATGGAAAACAATGCCTAATCGAAATGTAATATATCTAAATCTATACACAATAAATTTGTAGTCAGAAATGTTCATTAAAGTCTCGAAGGGATAAAAGGTTGAAAACTTGCCAAATAACATTATGGTTCACCATGAAGAATGTTAAATTTATTGCATTTTTGTTGTTCATGGTAAAATAATGCATCCAAATATATTTGTTGTTGTTGTTGTTGTTTCTTATCCCATTTGGCTGGCCGAAGCCCACGAGTCATACGTGCTCATGATTGAAGGGAAGGAAGCAGCTTCTGTTGTGAAGGAGCACCCGTAGGTAGAAGCCCTGACTTTTGCTCCCGTGACGCTCTTACAGTCATAGGAGACCGGGACTCATTTCTTGCCAAAGTTTTGATTCCGACCACTACAACATCCATGGCAAACGCCGGATTCGAACCCGGAAACCTGTGGCCACGAGCCCCAGAGAGCGCCAGACACTCGGTCTGCAGGTCCCTAAATTTGCCAACGGCACGCGGTGCTCCCAGGTGGTCACCCACCCAAGTACTGACCGGGCGCCCACGATGCTTCACTTCGGTGATCGACGAGAACCGGTATATTCAGCATGGTACGGCCGTTGGCTCCAAATATATTTAATGATATTAATAACCTTTTAACAAAGCTTGAGTGACTTGGTGATAGTGAGTTTTGTTTCTGCATTTAAAGGTGCTCTTGTTGGAAACATGACAAACAATGCCTACCTGAAATTTAATATATCCCCATCTACAGACATTACATTTGTGGTCAGAATGTTTTGGTAGGGTAGAGGAGGGATAGAACTTGCAAAAGGGTGCAAACTTGCCAAATAACATTATGTGGCACCCTTAAATAAGGTTAAATTTATTACATTTCTGCCTTTCATGGTAAAAAGTAATGTAACAAAAATATATTTAATGATATTAATAACCTTTTTAACATAGCTGAGTGGTTTGGTGATAGCGAGTTTTATTTCCGAATTTAAAGATGCTTTATTCGAAACAAGATAAACAATGCCTAACTGAAATTTAATGTATCTACATCTACACACAAATACATTTGTACGTCAGAATGTCTTGTGGTATGGCGCGGTGAGAATAAGAGGGTGCAAGCTTGGTAAATAATATTATGGGGTACCTTGAATAATGCAAAAAATTTATTGCATCTCTGCTGTTCATAGCAAAATATATTGTAACAAAATATGTTTAAAGATGCTAATAATCTTTTCAAATAGCTAGAATGGCTTGGTGATAGCTAGTTTTGTTTCCGTATTTTAAAGTCCTTTGTTTGAAACATGACAACTAATACCTAATCGATAAATCTATATCTATACACAAAAATTTGTAGGTTAAAATGTCTTGATAGGGCGCGAGGGGAATAAGAGGATGCAAAGTTGCCGAATAACATTATGGGGATTCCTGAATAATGTTACATTTATTACATCTATGTTGTTTATAGCAAAAAAAATGTAACAAAAATGTGTTTAATGATGTTAATAATCTTTTGAAATAGCTAGAAGGGCTTGATGATGCCCGATGACCCAGTGTCTGGTGGTCATTTCGACAGATTTCGGGTTAGAGCCGCGACGGTGCCATGTATGATTGCAGTGATTCGGATTCCAATTTAAACCTTAGGTCCCGTTCTAATATTACGGTAGAGGTTGGGCGTAGAGCTGCCAACCCTATCCTGTAAAAAGAAAAGCATATCCTGTCTCAAAATCTGACAGTAAGCAAATGGACTTGACCCAATATGGGCAGTGGCTTGATGATGCGCGTTTTATTTCCGAATTTAAAGGTGTTTCATTTCAAACATGACAAACATGAAAAAAGAAATGTAATATATCCATACACAATAAGTTTGTAGGACATAATGTATTCTTGATATTTTGGTTTGGTTGGTTGCTCATGGTCATTTTGTGCAAATTAGACTAAGACTTACAGCTAAACGTGGATTCTGAATCCATCTATCTTGTGATAGGACACGAGGGGGTTGAAGGGTTCAACTTGCCAAATAATATGTGGCAACCTGAATAATATTAAATTCATTACATATCTACTATTCATGGCAAAAACGTCAAAGTGATAAAAATTCAAACATAACTGAATCCTTTAAATTTTGCAGCTTTGACTTCAAATTAATTATAAGTATCTAATTTGTACATAAAATAATTTAAATAAAAAAGTGGCATAGTAGTTTAACCTACAACCTTCTGGTAGAAAACTTCCTCTATTTTCTTCCTTCTCCTCTCGTGAGATTTATGGCGCTTTAACAGCAAGGTCGGACTTATCAAAGATTAAGGGCAAAAAGCGATATTTCACGGCGCTAAGGAGAGTAAGTGAGTAATCCGGAATCTGGGCCGGGTCGTAACGCCGTGTTAACTCAGCTGGCTTCCACAAGGAGTGATCCTCCACCGGAAGGGGAGGGGCCATTTATAAACCGTGAGTGGATCCACGTCGCTATATCTCAACCCCTTAAAGATTAACAGAATTGTTCGCCAACGTCACTTTATGGGCTGGAAATGCGATATTTTTCTTATGGATGGAAAATTAGTTACCGATGCCGATAGAATCTGTGTCGTAATTAACTGAGATTGAGGGACTTTTCATAAAATATTCTTAAAGTTCTTTGAATTAATTATACACTTAATGAATACACGGGATTTTTACAGAAATGTAAAATTTGTTATAATAATATTATTATTTTACCATACGTAAAGAATAAAAATAAAAAATGAATTTTATTTATTTTGTTGAGATTTGACACTTTGCATACAGGCGGCGTTCTAGCTAGTTAGTAATGTTGATAGAATCAGTATTATAATTAACTGGTGATTAGCAATTGAGAGGCTTTTCATAGAATATTCTTAAAGTTCTGAATTAGTTATATAATGATTTAATATAAGGGATTTTACAGAATTATGAAATATATCATTATAATAACATTATTTTACCAAAAATGCAAAAGAATAAAAAATAAAAAAAATGAATAAAAAATGATTTTCATTTGCTTTTGTTGAGATTTGACAGTTTGAGTACCAACGCATATCTTAACTCAATCAGTGGTCTTAATATTTTTTATGTATGGGAAATTAGTTAGCACTACTAACAGAATATGTGTAATTAACTGGAGATAAGAGATTGATGGGCTCTTTTTCTTAAAATGTTCTTAAATTTCTTGTAATTATTTATACATTTAATAAATACAAGGACTTTACCGAATTGTAGAATTTATCATTATAATAACATTATTATTGTGCCACATTATAAAAATAATAAACAGAAGAATGATTGTTGATGAGTTTTATTTGTTTTTTGTGGAGATTTGACTTTGTATAAAAACATATTTTTAACTCAATCAGTGGCCACGATATTTTCTTATGTATGGGAAATTAATTAGCAATATTGATAGAATCGGTGTCGTAATTAACTGAGATTGAGATTTTTTTTTGGTTTTGTTTGTCGCTCTAAGTTCTTTATGCACACTTTTGGCTAATTAGACAGGGAGCTACAGTTTAAGGCGGATTCCGAACCACCAACAAGCATCCATGTCACATCCAGTATTTAAAGATTGAGGAGGCTTTTCAATAACATATTTTGAGTTCTTGAATCAATTACACTAATTAATACAAGGGATTTTAGCAGGATTGTAAAACAATATAATGGCATTATTATTTTGTCATAATGCGAAAAGAATAAAAATAAAAAAGGAATGTAAATGAATTTCACTTGATTTTTTTGAGATTTGACAATTTGAGTACTAGCGCATATAACTCAATAAGTGACCATGATATTTTTCCAATTTCTTTACTCGAACACTATCTTCAAAAGTACTATATAATGTTAAAAACTAATGTAATGAAAAATTAACATTATAAAACAATCAATTAATGTAAAGGTGGGTAAGCTTAAAAATCTTAGTTACTAAGATATACAGTAAAAATGCAAGAAGGAACAAACCCAAAAAAAACTCGATAGCTATTTTCTAAGCAGAACACCTGACATTGCTCGATTCATTGACGATAGAGAGTTTCGCCAAGAAAAGAAAGCGTCCGTATTCATGATGGGAAATTGCTGATTCGCACCATATACATAATATCACGCATCACAGAATGCACACTTCCGGATCAGCATCCTGCATAGCCAGAGATCGGACTTCTAACTGCTGGATATTCAGTGACATGAGATCTAGTATCTATACTGAAAAATTTATTTTTTAATTTTCCCTGCGAATAAGTAGACGCGACTGCTTTAAGCCCAGCTCAACTGCTTGTTTTCATTCAGCCCTCCGCTCAGTGGGTTAAATTATTTTAGTTTTTAAACATAGCTCGATAATGTCAACATTTCCTTCTTTTTTAAAAACCGATACCTTAGAGTAGCTGCCATGACATTGGTGGAGTATATTGATTTTTTTAAATCACAGTTATGATATATTATGATACAAACACATATCGATGGGTAGAAAGGCCATTCATGGTGGTTTGAAAAAGCTACAGGAAAGCTACATGTTCTGATAATGGATAATAATCCCAAAACTCTTATAAGATAGCCGTGAGGTCAGTAAGACTTTCCACACATGCTTTTTGTAATCGATTAATGAATTTCTTCATCTTACAGCATTGACTTTATCTACAGCCCCATTCGTACATGTCACCAGTAGATAATCAACGAAGACCCAGAACATATTGGCCATGAATGAAAAACAAATATATATATTAATTTGGCTATTTTGTGATTCATTGTGTATACAATGTAAAATCTTGTTTTTTAAGTTCTAATAATTATTTTGAAAAACTAATAGATTCTGCAGTTTATAGTAGAATTGCTTTATAAACTTACTATAAACTATTAATTATTATTAATTGCTATTATTTCTATAAACAATTAATAGCTTTTATTTCAAATCGATTCGAACAGCTTCTAGAAAGGGTTTGGGATTTTTGATATGCTGCATAAATTTGAAGCACTTCCACCTTTTAAAATCGTCTCGAGCCATGAAACTTAACCAGTTTTCTATATATTTTTTTGTACCCCAGATATTATGTAAATACTAAAGGTAAGCCATTTTGAAATACTTGATGACTAAATATTAAGGTTTATACTTTAAATACTTCTATTCGTGAAGAAAGCTCATAAAGAAAATTAGGAATTGTTATATAGTTTACTAAAAAAAGTCACGTCTCTGTGTGAAAATCAATTCCCAATTAGAATCCTATGAATAATGTCTTTCAGTGAAATGTTATTATTATTTAGTACTTGATTTGGTGGATTCCTGGAGCTTCTATCCCGACGGGTAAGAATAAGATATAACTATATATCTGGTAGAACAAGATATAAACAATTGATTATTGTTAATTATATTCCATATGCCATTATGAAACATTAGTACTATCTAATACTTATTATATATTGGTACTATCTAATTCTTAATCATAAATTTAGAGAACTTTTGGGGGCATAGGAGCTTTCGTGAAGGAAGTATATGAGATTTATTTTGAAACTGAAAATTTCACTTGTTTTTGTGTAAACCTAGAAATAATTACTTAGAGAAAAATAAGAATCCACGGAACCAATATTAATTTCTGGCCACAACATGTTGATGACCAT